AGGCCCGAAACGTCAGCCTTCCTGCTCCTCTGATGCTGCTTGGCCTGCTGTGTTCATCCAGCTCTACACCTAGTTATCTCATTATTAGTGATAAGATGGCATTTTAGAGAGCCAGTGTGAAACAGTTATGGGATTGCCACCTCTAGCCTCTGTTAGAACCCTGTAACAGTTAGGCTGCCATTTTATTTTCTACACCGGTTACAGTTCATTGCAAATTATAAATCTAAAAGTATCTCACAAACCATGTTGACGTGATGAAGATAACTGCATTTTTATCAGTAATTCCTTGCTTGACATAAGCGAAATCAGTACAAATAATATCGAAGGATGGAAGTTATTAATTTTGGTCTGGAACATACTAGAAGAGATAGTAGCCCTATTAAAGGCAACTACTATTGAAAGGTATTTCCCAAGATATCTGTATCCGACACTCAGCATTTCTTATAGCTTTGTTTACAAATATCCCTAATCCGTAAAATGAAATCACTTGACCAGATCCACTCTTAACATGACTGTGAAACTGATGTTATAAAGGGGATCACCAATATTAAAAAAAATCTCAATGCTTCTATTCCAAGTTGTTTCCCAAAATGGGACTTCATGAGTTTCACAGAGCAGCCCTGGAAAGAAAGGTTATTAAAAATTTTAGAAAAAGGCTTATATCATGTGTTTGTCACATCTCACGGAACACTTCAAAGCACAGCACATAATTAATTAGGTTCAAGTAAATTGTTGGAATGGAATGAATTGAAGCAAATTGCATGGAATGACAAAGAAGGCTTGCACTTATAAAACTCACTTCAGGATATCTGAAAATGCCTTTAAAGTATGTTGGAAGCGTCAAAATGTCAGAAATGCAGTAGTCAATATGCACACAGGAAGCTGTCACAACAGCAATTACAATCTAATAAAATCTGGCCTTTCAGTGATGTTGGACGTGGGGTGCATATTGACCAGGACCTCTGGAGAGCTCCTTTCTCCTCTTCAACATACTGCCACGAGATTGTTTGCATTCACCTGAGGGCAGATACGACCTTTTCTCTGTACTTACGTACATGTGACTACAATAAATCAAATCAACAGACTTAGGTTTAATATCTCACCCAAAGGACTGAATGTTCAACAGAACGGTGATCCCTCAGAACAATGCCATTTTGTGCAGTAAAACCCCGCACCCAGCAGTGAAATGAATATCCAGTTTGTCTAATGACGTTGAGGGATGCATGTTAGCCAGGACAACAGAATATCACCCTGTTCTGTTTGATTAATGTTATGGGTTCTTTTTCTATGTAAGGAACTATGAAAACAATTTCTGTACATTGGGACTCAGTCATATACAACAGATGATATTAGGACTTGTCAGATAGCAGGAATGTCAGTGTAACTTGCACAGGGATAGCAGCAGTAATTATCGATTTAGAAACTAGGAACATCTTTGGATTGAAAACATGCTTTTCTCTTTTGCAGTATATCCCTAAACAAGTTGCTTTCGAAATGCAATTACTGTTGTTACATAAGGAAATGCCAGAGCCAATTTATTTGAGGCATAGCCTCGCTTATGGGACTAAGTGAACTCTCTTGGTCTTCTTTGAATTGTGCCATGGGACTGATTATGTCCACTTGACCTGGCAACTAAGGCCTCGTTTTAATCTTTCTTCAGGCAAAAAAAGCAGCTGTCCCTCAGTTCTACTGCTCAATGTCAGCCTTAATTACATGTTGAAGGCTCTGGAGAGAGACTTGAAATCTCAATTGGAGTTTACACCATTCTCAACTGAGCCAAGCTGAACCTTTCATACAATACCTCAGATTATATTCAGATCGAATATCTTTTGATTTCCCTATTATTAAACATGCCAGTGCTTTTCAATAAGTTTAAAAGCATGCAAATTGTGAACAGATTTTTTTCTTTAGTAAGCCTAGCTTCAATATTCAAATAACTATAAAGCTTTTTGATTCTCCTTCTGAGATAATCTGACAATTTAAATACTTAAATAATATCAACTTTGGCATCCTAGAATGTCTTCTTTTTCCTCTGCTTTCATTTCTTTTTAACTGCAGACAGACACTGGGTGACACTGTAGGACAAAGCAGTCACCTCATTTAATCCATTTGATGTATCAAGTCAGCACTGAAATACAGCACTGAACGAAGAGATGCGACAACCTGTAAATCTCATGCCTAAAGTGACTCCTGCTAATCTCAAACTGGCTCAAGGTGACTCAAATGCAAAGTGCAAGGTAACAGTACTCAGTTCCGAGATGTCTAAAATCAGTTGCTGTTTGGGCAATGGGTTTGCTGCAAAATTGCAGTCTTCAGTCAAAAGTTGGGATAGTATAGACTGACAGCGTTGCAGCACAAATCCCATCCTTGAAGCAACCACCACAAGATGCAAAACTAATATTCTCCTGTTCCTTCTGCAGTGCTGATCTTGCCAGGTGCCTCAGGTTGGGAATTGTGTTGTCCACTGAGGAATGGGGTCAGCATTACAATTGACTGAACTGTTCAGTGAGGGTCCCCATTGCAAGCAAGATGACTGCAGTTACCGTCATTTATTTCTGAACATTTCCTGTTTTGGGCGTTGGGTGGAATTGAAAACAAGACCTGTAGTCGCGGTAGTCTTGATTCTTCAGCACTTGTAAGCATTAGGGAATTCTCAGGTTCCTCATGGTTAGCAAAACTTGCTGCCTGATGATTCACATTATAAAGTATGGTCAAGACGCGCAATCGATTTCTGATGCCAATCCATAAGACTATAAGAAATGGGAGCAGGAGCAGGAGCAGGAGCAGGCAATGTGGCGCCTCGAGTCTGCTCCACCATTCAATAAGATCATGGCTGATCCGACATTCCTCACGTCCATGCCCACAGTCAAGTAATGAGAAACTGGACATCCAGCCACAGGAAACGAACAGAGAGCAAATGGATGGGTAAATCCTGAGTTAGCCATTTCTAGACAGGCATCTAGAACTTTTACACATCAATTACACCTCATTAGTCAGAGACCAATAGAATTGGCTAAATGTTATTCTTCCAGTCTTGATATGGAACCACTTTGGGGAAGCAGGTGAAGGAGGAAGTGAGGTGTGGTCATGTGAAGGATAATAAACTAATGGATTCAAAATATTTAGCATTAGAAACTTATGTCTAGAAATAACCTCTGTCAGTATCAGTAAAACAATGGCTAATATGATCACTAGACATTCCTATGTCTGTATTTCAGCTGAGGTATTATTCCATTTCAAAGAGATTAATACTTCCATTAAAATGGCACAGTGTTGCTCAGATAAGCTAAGCAATCATTGGAACAGGACCAAGCCATTTAACCTTGGAGCTGCCATTCAGTAACACTCTGGTTGACGTGCACCCCATCTCCATTGTCCTGCCTCTGCTTCCATACTCCCGGATACAGTAACTGAACAAAGTTTGTCAAAATTAGTACCAAAAGCTCTAATTGACACATGATCCACAGCCTTTCGTGGGCAGCATTACTGGGGGAGGCAGAGGCAGGAGGATAGAGAACCACATTTCCAGATAACCCTTTGTGTCGACATCCTTCCTGGCTTCACCCTTGATTAGCTTAGCTCTCAATGTATACTGATGTGCCTTTTCGCTTGATGACTTCACCAGATGAATCAGTGTGTCTATGCTGCTGAATCTCTTAAAACTTCATTTACCTCAATTAGACCAGTTCTCAATCTTCTGTCCTCAGGGGAACGCAAGCCATGTTTCTGAAACCCCTCCTCATAATCTGCCCTTATAAGCCCTGTGTACCATTCTGGTGAATCTGTGTTGCATCCTCGGAAGGCTCCCAATGTTAAGAGGACATTTGTGCACCTAATTCTCTAACTTCAATTAAAACTAAGGGTTATAGCTAGTCAGAAAGGTCAAATGTGTATTCCAAAAATGGGCATCTTGTTCCTCGAGTTTCAGATTTAGAAGAAGTAAATGATGCTGCTTCTCACCTTTAGTGTACTCTTCAGCATCCTAATGTGGTGCAACTTTTCATTGACAACTGGATCATTACATCTTTTTATAAAAGACCTTCTGAATTCTTGTTTGGTGGAAGGGCGTTGCTCTCCGATTGCAGACAGACTGGCCTGCTCCAGGGACCTGTACAGCTCCTGTAGCCCGTCGGTAGATCTTCTGTCTTCTGCTGTACTTTCTGGAAGGGAATATTGCAGGCGTTTGAATCTTGTCACAGCCACTGACCAAACTGGACTTTAAACATACACTTCTATATCTGGCCTGTATTTTGTACAAACACTTGCGACTGACATAGGAGTGGATTTGTTTTATGTTTCTACAAAGTAAAGCTTTTTGGAAATGGCTAGGAACCTAATGATTTTATAAGGGAGCCTAAAATGATACTGGCAGCAAGTGAACTGGTATGAAACAAAACGCAAAGCTCCTTGAGACAGTTTGGATCCGGGAATGGTGCGCCCTTAAAGGGCAAAGAATTGAATCCAATCAATCTTCACTCATTTATACAAGTATTTGTTTTGTATTTTAAGTATAATTTTAATTCAATATTGCTTCTTTTAATATTCCATTTCCCTGTTACCTGTTGAATTTGCTTGTCTCTTCCTATTCTTACATAGATGTTTTAACTTGGTTAGTTAATCTGTATGTGAATTTTATGAATTTTTTAATGTTACATTACACAACCATTCAGCCTTTGGGCTGTGGACATGTTTTTTCAGAAAGACACCATTATTATTTTAGGCTGGATTTCATATAACTACAAATTCAGAAAATAACACGAAAATGGGAACCAATCACTTGCAGAGCAGTCCATGGAAAACTACAAGGTATTATGTGAAAATTTATAATAAAATTATAAATGGATGGAATAAAAAATTAACATTTGACATGTATTATTGGTCTGATAATATAAAAGATTTGGAAACAATTTTTGTTTGTTGAGTCAATGCTTTATTGAAAAATATCTTTTTGGAGACTAAACTCAACATTGTAATGTTACAAAAAGCGGAATAAATTTATATTTGCCAACAGACATCATGCTTGCAGACAGACATGGCTAATGACCATCTATTAAAACAAAAGTCACTCTTGGATTGCTAAGTGCTCCATGCATAATGAAATCTGTGCATGCAACACTACTTAAATAGATATTCAGGTTTTGTCAGGGCAATGACTGCATGGGAGATTTGTTAACTGGAATCAGTCGTGATGTTCTTACTTAATTTCACAGCTACATGTCAGTCAGTCACAAATTAAGCAAATAAACACTAAAATGTAATTCCTCCAACAGCAACTGTAGTGCAGTTACAACCTTTTAATGAAAAAGGCATCTAATCTATGTATACATTATGGGGTATTCTGGATAGATCTTGGACAATTGTATTCCCTGCATTTTAAATGCATGTATCAATTTGCAAACCATTTGGCACATTTTACATTACCTACGGTAGTAACAGTTACAAAGATATTTGCAACATTGCAATTCAAGTATGTGTGTTACAAGAAAACAAATCAGATATGGTGAATCAGCTGTACCTTTTACGATTACGATATAAATAAAATAGGACAAAACAAAACCCATTTTAACGTTTAATTTAACCATGAATCGCTCACTGCTCCCTCTTACCTCACAAATTCTCCATTCTTGTGCTGTTTTCACTGTTTTCAGACATAAACAATGTAATCTTACAAGATTACATTATTTACGTCATGTGACTGCGGCCTTGCTGATCGGCCTGAAACAGGGAACAGGGGATTTTTAAAGTAGGAGGGGCAACACTCACTCTTTTACTGACCAACAGTTGCAGGTTATTAATGACCAATTAATTAAACTGCCATATTCGTAAATCATCATTATTTACATGCACTGTTTCATTTTCTTCTAAAACAAAATAAAACTTGGTGACATTTGCCCGAAAGGAATTACAGTTCTAGTGCGAGTCAAGCAAATGAAAGCCTCATTCACTCACACAGCAATACTGTTGATGGAAATTAAACACTAGGCTGCCATGGTTTGAAAATTTAGAATAACTGCAACTGAAAGAAGGTATTTGGTTTCATTCAAGACCCCGAGTTAAGGAAATTGACCAGATTGAGTTAGGGGATGGGACAGCGGTGGTGAAGAGAAAGAAGGATGAACTTTAAATGTAGTATGGTGACAATGACATGAATGGAAAGGCATGACTTATTGGCAGAATCCACATCATGATTGGTGCCACTGTCTCACAGTGACAAAAGGAGGGACATCGCATAAGCTTGAGTGAGCCTCTCTTGACAGGAAACTGGATTGAATATGAAACACACAGCACCCGATTTTCATTCCTCCTGGTTTTATTTGAACCATTGGAAGATCAAGGCATCAATTGGGTTCACCAATCTCCACATGTGATTATTCTACCCTCTTGGTGAGGCATCATCTCAAAAAACTGTCCTCAGTGCATCACTGAGCCTTGTTTCTCATGAGGGATTATTATTTGCAGATTGCTCCAAACAGCATTCTACTAAATTCTGTACTTGGGAACTGTTCTATTTTTGCTTCTCGCTGTCCGGGGCTTCTACGGTCAGAATTTAGGTGGAACCCTTCACCGCACAATTCAACTATTGCATTTAACTCTGTGCCACAAAGTTGAGACTTAAAACTGATTACTGGGTGGGACTTCTTGGGCCGAATGGCCTGTTTCCACACTGGAAGGATTCTATGAATCCCTTTGGAATGCTGAACACAGAGGGGATAACGCATTTTGTGTGATGATAGCATCACACTGGATGCAATAGAAATGGCAGAAAATGATCGCCTGAATATGGACACCGATGAGGGCCAAGAGAACCCTACCATTTCTTCTTGAAGCAATGAGAGCCGAAGTGTGGGAAGTGGGGTGGTTCTAGTCCAGGGCCCTATCAACAACATTGGGTGGGCTGGAGCCCTTGAGTGCAAAAACCAGAATACATTTCAGGAACACTGGTTTGAAAGATTGCATCATTAGAATAAATGGATCAGAGATGAAATGTAAAAACTGAACTGCGATGCTGTACAGATCCGTAGCAGGTCGTGGCTACATTGAATTAAATGCTAATAACCATGCGCCATGTGTTTGTTTCAGAGCTAAATCTCATTCAGACCCAATATGGCCCTTCCTGTCTTGCCCAAAGGTTCTTCACTGTTACTGATGTGATTTTCCAGAGGAAAGCAATTCCTTTTTGTAGCAGGGTGAGAGGCAGCACACTGATTTTTTTTTTCCTTTATTCATTAATGGGATGAGGGTGTTGCTGACCAAGCAACATTTATCGCCCATCCCTAATTGCCCAGAGGGCAGTTAAGAGTCAACCACATTGCTGTGGGTCTGGAGTCACATGTAGGCCAGACCAGGTAAGGATGGCAGTTTCCTTCCCTTAAGGACATTAGTGAACCAGATGGGTTTTTCCTGACATCAACATTGGATTCATGGTCACCATTAGATTCCAGATATTTATTGAATTCAAATTCCACCATCTGCCGTGGCAGGATTCGAACCCACGTCCCCAGAACATTATCTGGGTCTTTGGATTAACAGTCCAACGATAATACTACTAGTCCATTGCCTCGCCCAAGCAAATACATTCATTAAACTCCAGTACCATTGAATCCCTAAAGTGCTGAAAGAAGCCATTCAGCCCATCAAGTCTGTACCAACCCTCCAAAGAGGGTGCAAAGAGCCTGTAATCCTGCATTTGTCACAGCCAATCCACCTAACCTGCACATCCTTGGACTGTGGGGTAGAACCAGAGCACGCAGAAGAAATCCATGCAGACACAGGGAGAATACCCCCACACTGATAGTCGCCCGAGTGTGGAATTGAACCCAGGTCCCTGCTGTGACAGGATTCAAATCCAGGTCCCCAGAGCATCATCTAGGTCTCTAGATTAATAGTCCAGTGATAGTACCAGTAGGCCACCAACTTCCCCATAATCTCTTATTTCCTGCGTGGGAAATGAACCTGGGTTGCAGCACTGATTTTGCCAAATCTTAACCACGAGATCACCAGGGAAGGTAAATGTGCTTTTGAAACAGACATGCCAATTTTTATGAAGTGACTGCCGGATACATGATTTCTAAGCCAAATTCAGCCTTATTCATGATCTGACCAGAAGTTTATTTTGTTGGTATTTGACCAGCTGGGTCGGAATGGCTTGCTGACTATCAGTCTGCTGATCAGTATCTTGGTCACAGTCAGAGGGTCTGCAAAGACCCTAGAAGTACTGTTGCCTTTATTTTACATTGCGCTTAGTCATGGATACCTTCTACAAAAGAACACTCAAGTTTTAAAGGGCGAAGACTGGCTGGCTAGCAGAAAACACAGGGTATGAATAAATGAGTCTATGTCTGATTGGCAGGAGTCCTTCAGGGGTCTGTGCTGGAGCCTCAACCCTTTACAACTTCTATCAATATCTTAGGTGAGGGGAGCGAAGGGTGGCTAAATTTGCAGCTGACACAAAACCAGATAGAGAACACATGGGGAACACATAAAGGGTTTGCAGGTGGATATTGACAGGCTGAGTGAGTGGGCAATTTTTGACATCCGCAGATGGAGTATAACTTGGGAAAATGTAAAGATGCCCACTTTTACAGGAAGAATAAAGAAAAAGCAAGAGTTTTATATAAATGGGGAATGACTGCAAAATTCCAAGATGCAGAGGGATCTTGACGATCTAGTGTCATGAGTCACAAAAAAGTTAGTATGCAGGTATAGCACAGCAACACAAAGTCTAATGGGCTGCTATCGTTTATTATGTGCGGAATTGAACATTACAGTGATGGTGCTTCCGTTATACATGGTTGAGACTACATCTCAAATACTTGGTATCGTTATTTAAGAAAGGATGTATATACACTGGAGGCAATTCTGAGAAGGTTTACTACATTGATACAGCTAACGAATGAGCTGTCTTATGAGGGTGGGCTGCTTGGGTTGGGTTTGTTTCTACTGGAGTTTGGAAGAGAGAGGGATGACTTGATTAAAGTGTATAAGGACTGGATGTTTAATTGCAGGCCAGTCCAGAATTAAGAGGAACTATTTTAAAATTACAGGTCACTCTTTCATGAGAGACGAGCCAAAGAGATCTTTATGCTCTCAGAGGCCTCATAAGGCAGTGAATGTGGGGGTCATTGTGTATTTTTAAGACGGATATAGATAGATTCTTGTTTGGAAGGGAAATCAAAGGTTGTCAATGATAGATGGGAATGCGGAATTCGAAACAAAAACAAAATTAATCATGTCCTTACTGAATGGCAGATTAGACTCCAGGGGCCAAATGGTCTATTTCAGCTCCTATTTTTGAGGTTTGCATCCCAAGGGAATGATGGCTAAACACAACGAGCTTTATGGCTAGTGGCAAGTTAAGACAGACAGATAATAAATACCTGGCAGGTAAAGATACTCCGTCCCATTTAACCTGTCTCACATAAGTTTGCATATACCCATCATTGCAAACTAAAGGAAGTTGTGTTGTTCAGTAGGTAGTGCCCCTGTTTCAGAGCCAGAATTTCTGGGTTCAAGACTTACTACTGGACTTGTTGGCCACAGAAGGAACATTTTCGATGTCGCCCTTCTAATACTCCCTCACTATTCCCCAAAGGAGAAAGCAAAGATACAAAACAAGCCTGTAAAACATAAATTTTTCAATGATTGGTCTTATTATTCACTTACAATATTTTGAAACAAGTTATTGTAACAAATGACCAAGTCTGATGAGAGACATCAAGTGAGCAGCACAACTGTGCTGCTCTGTTAGTGCCAATCGTTGACAATTTGCCTTTCAACATTATCCCTCATACAGGGACACATCTCAAAGTGTCCTTCTCTCCCTTGGCCTGGGCCTGATTGAAATGAACTAACTTCTTGTCTAATTTTCAAATTCCCGCATGTCTTCTCCACTCCTCTGACAATGCCTCTTACTTCTTTTCACTTCTCCACTAAGAATGTTCCTCATATAGTCCTTGCTGTTCAGTCTCGCCATCCTCTTTGTGTTTAAAAGAAAACTTCCAAAAGCACTTTTCTATCTTTCTTTCTCAAACCTAGACTTTATTGTTAAACTTTCCTTGATTGCTCAGCTTCCACTGTTTAATCTTCTTGAAGTGAAGCACTTTGAGATATGTCCCTGTATGAGGAATAATATTGACAGGCAAATTGTCAACTATTGGCACTAACAGAGTAGCACAGTTGCACCGCTCACTTGATGTCTCTCATCAGACTTAGCCACTTGTAACAAAACATCGTAAATGAATAATAAGACCAGTCACGAAAATTTTATGTTTTACAGGCTTGTTTTGTATCTTCACAGATACTTTGCTTTCTCCTTTGGAGAATAGTGAGAGAGTATTAGAAGGACGATATCGAAAATGTTCCTTCTGTGGGTCTTGACCCCAGAATGTCGAGCTCTGAAACAGGGGCACTACCTACAGAACCACACAACCTCCTTTATTTTGCAATAGCGAGTACATGTGCACTTATGTGAAACAGGTTAAAAGGGACATACTATCTTCATCTGCTACTTATTTGTCATACATCTGTCTTAACTTTTCAGCCACTAACATAATTTGAATATCTCAAACTTGAAGGTGCTCAGAGTTACTTCGCTATAGATAAATGGACTTTTAATGTCTGAAAGTGTTAAACTTGGACAAGTAGGTTATGTTTTACTCTATAAGAAGGCATCCCTTCAGCTTTGATGGGAGGACATATTGTCCTTTATCACACGAGTAGGAATTTTTAAAACATTTATTGTAAAGCAAACAAAAACAGCAATATAGCTTTGGCGTAGAGCTTTGATCAGACAGAGATTCAATAAGCCTCATGCAGTTTCTAAACCAACTGACAAACTATATCCATTTACGCTTGAAAATAGAAAGTAACTCATGATTTTTGTACGAAATGTCTTGATTTTTAAGAGTTTGTCTATTGACTCATGAGATACAGAGGGAAATGGCTGGTCTGTGTAAACCAAACACTTAGTGATGAATACAAAATGTGAAGGGAATTGAAGAGTTCCCTCCTGATTTAGTGACTGCCAATTTTTTTTAGTTTTTTTTCTAACATGACTCAGTGGTTGTCCCTTCTGAGGCACAAGACCCATGCATACAAGGAGCTGAGTGAGACTTTAGCATTATAACCAGGCTGACACTTCACTCCTATACAGAGGAGGGCGCTCCAGTGCTGTCATTTGAGTAAGACATGAATTCAAGACATCTGCCTGATCAGACGAAATAAGAGCAGAGAGTGAGATGATCCAGTGTTTTGCCTATCATTTCTCTCTCAACCAAAGGCACTATTCCCATCTTCTGTTTCTGGGACCTGACAATGCGCCTGTGCAGCAACAAGGACAACACTGCAAGAGCGGGTCATTGCCTGCTGAGTGCTTTGGAACACCTTGAGAATGTGCAAGGTGGTATCAGAAGAGCAAGTTCCTTCTTTAATGAAATGAATTCCAGTCACATACAATATTTTCTAATTATTCTGTCCAAACATGATAGGCTGCATGAAAAATATTGGCACACCAACCTTGTTTATTTGCGCCATTTTGCTTGATGCATTGGATCTCATCGTCCTCGGACCTCTCTTCAGCGAGTCCAGGAGCGAGCGCGTGCCCTTTCATTCTTCCTTCCCTATTCCTTGGGAGACTCTGGCTGCGTTGTTTACATCCTCTACTGTGAGATCCAGGTCCCCGCTCACATTCCACCAATGGAAAAGGCCCATCGCTGTCATGGTTGTGGCGCCTCTGAACGGGTAATGTTGCCTGCCGTCTTCTCTCGGGTGACATTAGTCCTGTCCTGTCTGCGATATAATCTGTTTCCAGAGGGACAGTCTGCAGGAAGTGCAACCCTGAGCTAGTTAGCGGGGTTTCAATCAGGTCCTGCCACGACCGCCTCTCTCTGTAGGAAGACCTACAGCCGGATGAATGGGTGCTTCCTGATGCATCGTGCCGTGAGTCCTCAGCAGATGAATGCGAGTATGTCGACTCACTTGAGAAATGACGTCCGTGCTTAGGTTCTGGGTAGGGACTTGAAGAATTAACCTATGGAAAAGAGTCAGAGGTAACTCGTCTGTAGTTACTGCCAATTATCAGCATTAGCCTTATATATTCTTATAACGATAATATTGAAAATTGATATAAAATAAATGGACAGCTAACATTTGCAACTTTGTAACATCCTCCAGACCCCGCTCCCTCATATTCGTGCTCTCTTCCACCTCTGTGAGGTTCTTTGTATCTCATTGACAACTCCTGAGACCCTAACCTTGAAATTCCATTTCTAAGCCTCTCCACCTTTCTAACCAACTCTCCGCTGTGACAGTGTAAACTTCACAACTTTAATAACTCTTCAAAGATTGAAAGAAGCAGCAGTAACTCTGTCTGGTATAACCATTAAGGGACAAAGACAAATTTATGCAGGAATTGAAAGCACTTAGCCATGTCTGGGAGAAGAATGAGTCGAAGCTACTGTTTGAACATCTGCTAGATAACTGGCTGCCTTATATCACAGCAATAACTGATTACCCTGAAGAAGCATTTAAGGAGTTAATCACAGGAACATTGTGTCTTCAAACAGACGTCAAAACCAAATGTAACAAGGTGCAGGGAGGTTACCTCTGATAAGAAGGAAAGCTGCAGACGTGCAATATTGCGGATGAAAGAATCTAAAGGATCATCAATAATGTCACACCACAAACCTGAAGGAAGCTAAATTATTTAAGAACTATGGAGAGCAACACTGCACAAGGATCAAACCCTGGGCACATCCAGAGATAGATATTGTTGGTCTGAAATGTAGCTAAATTCCACCATTAATCGGGCAGTAGCCAAGTTGAGGGGTGAGGCTTAACTTGCTTACTTGATTGGTCTTGTTTCAGTTATTATATGCAATAAAGTTTAAGTAATTATTTCAGTATTTGATTGCCTGCGAGACTTTTTAATAATGAGCTGAATTAAAAAAAGGATAATATACCCACAACACCTCCTTTAAGATGCTTGCTAAACCCTACCTCTTTTGGCCAGTGCTTTGGTCATCTATTCTAACATGCAACTCAATTACAAATATTGTTTGTCGAACCACACTTACAAAGTTCCTTAAGATGCTTTACCATGTTAAAGGCACGCATAAATGCTAATTACCCTTTTTACTGTAAGAATGACATCAAAATATAGCACAGATGGAGGCCATTTGGCTCACAGCTCCCATGCCGACTCTTTGAAAAAACTATCTAATTGGTCAATCTCTCCTACTCTTCTCACAGTGCCCTGCACGTTCCCATTTCAAGTACATTACCAAATTTCACTTAAAAGTTGCAGTTAATTGTGCCACCAGCACCTTCTAGGCAGTCCATCTTAGATCATAGCTCGTTGTGTTAAATTAATTTCTCTTTTAATTTCTTTTTGCCAACTATGTTTTAGAAAGCTCTCTGTCTGCTGTCTGAGGAGAGACTTCAATTCATTTAACAAAAGGGGCATCGTGCCATATTTCTCACGGTTCAGAAAGTTGAACACTTATCTCTAAGTCAAAAGATTGTGCATTTAATACCCACTCCAAGACTTCAGCCCCAAATCTAGCCTGACACTCCTGTGCAATGCTGATAAATATCATTGGAGCTGTTTGTCTGCAAGAACTGCAACATACATAGCAAGGCTGCGTTATGATTCTTACTGATGGTGTCCGAGGGTATGTGTCACACACTGCTGAATGGCCCTCTGCTTTTACTGTTAAAGGATCATTAGCATCCTCTTGGTCACTTTCACTCCAGTAGTCTGAAAAGGAACAAAAAAGACCTTATTGTAAAACACTCCTGACTTAAAATCTTTTCAAACAGTCCTATCAGAGCTGATAATGAGAGTCATACAGTCATATGGCGGCGGAAATAGGCCCTTCGGCCCGACTCATCTGTGCTGACCAGGTTTCCTAAACTGAACTAGTCCCATTCGCCTCTGTTTGGCCCATAAACCTTTCCTATCCATGTACCTGTCCAAGTATCTTTTAAATGTTGCAACTGTATTCACCTCTACCACCACCCTCTGTGTGAAAAGGGTGCCCTTCAGGTCCCTTTTAAATCTTTCCCGTCTCACCTTAAACCTATGCCCTCTAGTTTTGGACTTCCCTACCCTGGGGAAAAGACCTCGGCTATTCATCTTATCTATGCCACTTATGATTTTATAAATCTCTATATGGTCAACCCTCAGTCTCTGACACATCAGGGAAAAGAAAATTCCAGCCTTTCCAGCCCCACCTTATAACTCAAACCTTCCATTCTCAGTAACACCCTTGGAAATCCCTTTTGTACCCTTTCCAGTTTAATAGCATGCTTCCTATAGCAGAGCGACCAGAACTGAAGGGCAGTATTTCAAAATGTGGCCTTACCAACGTCTTGTACAGCTCTAACATGACATCCCAACTCCCATACTCAATGTTCTGACCAATGAAAGCAAATATGCCAAACACCTTCTTGACCACCTTGTCAACCTGTGATGCCGCTTTCAAAGAACTACGTACCTGCATCCCAAGCTCTCTCTGTCAACAACACTCCTCAGGGCCCTACCATTAACTGTGTAAGTCCTGCCCTGGTTTGTCTTACTAAAATGCAACAATTCGAATGGCTTTCTCACAGTTCTTCACACCTCACCAATCCTAAGGGTTCCAATTTGTTATTCTTCATTCCAGAGTAGATAAGCTCATACTTCCTCACAGTCAACTTCATTTGCTACAGATTTGCCCTTTGACTCATTCAGCCTGTGTTCATTTGTAACATGCTCCACTTATTTATGCAACTTATTGACCCAAAACTTCTGAGGAGGTACAACCCACCTGTTTTGTTTAATTTGTTCATGAGATGTGGGCATTGTTGGCTGGTCAAAATTTACTGACCATCTCTAACTCTGCAAACGATAGTTGAGACTCAACCACATCACTGTGTCTGGTGTCATGTGTAGACCAGACCAGGTAAGGATAGAAAATTTCCTTAGATAAAGGACACTGGTGAACCAGATTGGATTTTACAACCATATACACTGGTTACATGGTCACCATTAGACTAGCCTTTCATTCTACATGTTTAATGAATTCAGAATTCACCATCTGCCATGTCCCCAGAACATTAGGCTGGAGATTTAGATCACTCATCGCAATGCTACTCTGCCCCCAACATTTTACCTTCTGACAGAGCTCTGCATTTTTGGCCTGGATTTCCAAACTGGGCCTCTTCAGAAATACAAACCATAGTTTAAATCACAGTCCACCCTCACTGCATAAGCTTGTTGTGGTAACCCAAGCCACAGGCTCTTTTCAAGACTCTAGTTGCCTGATTCTGCTAAGTATAGGATTTAGTTGTCCCGAAGCCTCTTTGAGAAGCCAAGAAAGGTAATTATTGGTGAGGGCTTAGAGTGGCAGGTGGGTGAGTTGAGGTAGGATGGGAGGTGGATGATGAGGACAAGGTACAAGGAGGCAGGTGGATAGGGTAGCAAGTAGGTAAGAGTATAAGCGAGCTTGTGTGTGAGAAGTTAGGGTGGCATATGGGTGAGAGGGGATGGGTGGCAGATGGGTAAGGGGATTGGGGTGGCAGGTGGACCAGGGGAATAGATGAAAGTTGGTGAGGGGGATAGGGTTACAGATTGGTGGGTAAGGGTAAGTCAGGTCAGGGTGGTGTTGTGGTGGGCCGCAGTTAGATCTGATCAGGGTGGTATCTGGGGGTTTGACGTAGTTGTTGATGGGGAGTATAGTCAGGTCAGGTTCAGGTTTACTCACATGTAGTGAGGGGTTGGTGACGGAGGTAGTTGGGTGGTTTAAGGATAGTTCAGGATCAGGAATGGCAGACAGGCATTTGTGGGGGGGAGGGGAAATCTGATGGGAGGGGACAGAAGGGTGGTTGGGTGATGAGGGGTAGTCTGGGGTGAATCAGAACACTGGGGGATAGTGTTGGGGTTTGGTCAGTCAGGGGGTGTCAGTGGTACAGTTACCCAAGAGTTAGACATGGTTTTCAGCACGCTGACACTTTGTGGGTAACTACATGTGCAGGTCAGTGGGTTGGAATTTTCTGAAGTCTACGACTAAGTTAGTGGTGGTGACTTTCTCGGAGGGTTCCAGCTGCAGGCTTATTGCTCATTAGACGTTTAAACATCCAGGGCAATTCCTATACAAATCGCTGCACTGGGACTTCCAAGGGGACCCGATGTGTATTGTTTGGGATTGTTCAGCTATCCAGGAACTACATTGGATTGACACCTCCATAAAACAGCTGACAGTGGAATTAGTGCGAATGTGTGCAGTGCTCATGCAGTAACAGCATCCATTAGCAGGCTCCAATATCTGTGTCTAATTTAAAATCAATAAGTCAATGGTCATCTATCTGGAGTCATACTGTGTTAGGCACAGCTGGGCAGCCATAGTACTGATTTATCTAACCTGCACCTTTATACTTAGGAGACCCACTATAGAAATTCCACAGGTGTGACCAGTACAAAGAGGCAAACAGCCCGAACAGTGCACAGAAATTACGCACTGCAGATGAAGAAAGGAAACACTCACGAATGCTGCAGAGTACATCTCCTTTTCTCCTGGTCTATTTCTGCATTTCCCACAATATTAATAATGACCGAATGCAAAATACAGTCCTGGTACCAATAACGTTTTAATCTATAACAAGGGTGAAAGCTGAAAATATAAATGATGCTTTGGGCGCATTACTATTTTATTCTGTCAGATTCTGTGCTGGAAGGGCCATGACTGAGATTACCAAGGGACACGGTGAGGATGTCATGGGCCCAGGTTTTGCTCAGGCAATTTGCTGTTATATTGAACCTGTTTAGAGGATTAGGCCAGGATGTGACCCAGGAGCTTCCTCAGCTCTGGTTAGGAATACACATGGCAGTGTGTGGGCCTTTACACAGATCAAAAGGAGACACTGTTAGATTGGAAGTCTGGGCCCTCATGGATTCCAAGGTCCAGGCATCTACATGATAGAAACACAGAACTGTAGAAAATAGGGGCAGGAGTGGCCCCTTTGAGCCTGCTCCACCACTCAACATTATCGTGGCTGATCACCATAAGCAGTAGGCTGTCCCTGCTTTCTCTCCAGACTCTTTGATCCCTTTAGCCCTAAGAGCTCCTTCTTGAATACATTCGATGTTTTGGCCTCAACTGCTTTCTGTGCCAGTGAATTCCGCAGCCTCACCACTCTCTGCGTGAAGAAATTTCTCCTCAGTTCCGTCTTAAATGGCCAACCTCGTATCCATAGACTGTGACCTCTGATTCTGAACTCCCTGATCATCGGGAACATCCTTCCTCCATTTACTCTGTTCATTACTGTTAGAATTTCTATGAGACTCCCCCCACATTCTTCTAAACTCCAGTGAATGTAATCCCAACTAATCCAATCTCTCTTCATACATCAATCCTAACATCCCAAGAATCAGTCTGATAAACCTTCAATGACTCCCTCCACAGCCAGAACATCTTTCTCCAGATAAGGAGACCATAACAGTACACAATACTCCAGGCGTGGTCTCACCAAGGCAGCAACAGATTCTGCGCCTGTGCTTGAATCCTCGACAATTTAGCAATCTTCACACTATCTTGAGATTTGTTAGTTTGAGTAGACACCAGAGACACACCACACACAGCAGATGCTTGACTATCTGAATAATATTAAATGACTGTCATCTGAGCCTGTCAGAGATCTTGGGTGATGCAGTTATGCTGTGGGTTTGATCAATGGGTTTTTAGGCCTAGAATCCCTTCTGTAACCAATTTAATCCTCAGCATAAAGAGTTTTTTTCTCTCCAGTCTTGAATTTAAACATGTCTGTTTGTCAAACCATGGTGCTTATTATTTTATCTCTTGCTGTGAGATGAAATGATGGCCAAAGGCAAGAAGCTTTTGTCACGACCATTTTCTGTTCTCATGACTAATGTTTCAAAAGCAAAAAGAAAGGAAAGTTTAGAGATACTTTCTGCGTTGGCATTACTTTTGTCAAATATCCCAATGGCTCTTTGTTACCTTTCTTGTAAAATCATAAATTGCAATTCCTCACTTCACATGAAAATGAAAATTAATTGTTGATATTTTACGGGTTAAATTTGATTTTATTTCTTTTTATAACAAATTTAAGACTGAAACGTGAAAGAAAGTGGAGGTGATATTTTCAGTTCTGGGATTGGCTCTTCCTGCTCACAATAATATTATTGGCTCTGTTTAGGAGGACAACCATCATTCTGGAGCTAGTTTCCTGGCACTGTTAAATGGAGCTCAGTTTCCAACCTGAGCAGCATTATCCAGTTGTGAAAGATCAGGAACAATGACTGAAATGATAAGTGACCATTCCGCCCATACAGCCAAATTTAGGTTCAGTTAGCCTTTCAATTCAGTTCAAAAATCTCCTCTGGACATGGTGCACACATGGAGCTGTGGTTGTCTGCTTTAAGCTGGAGTAGGTTATATAATTCTTCACGCATCAGCAGACTGTTAAGCCCGCAGCCTAATACATTCTTCTGTTGTTTAAAGTTCTGCAACTTTTAAACTGAAAGTAAAGTTTATTACGAGGCAACTAAGGGTGAACTGTTAACATTTTTCACTGATGAATCATTTAAAGCCTTCTCAGTGTTTGCCTCAAGTATCATTCTTAGTGAGCTTTTCACCATTTTCAGTGATCAGAAATTGCTGCATTTCTCAGTTTCTGAGTGTGTTTGAATGTTGTCGTTCACTGTGATCGTAGACAATTTGCAGGGAAACACCCAGGAACTGAACGAAAGTGATGGCAGCCACCTCACGCATTGGGAGTGCAGCTCCTTAAACTGGACTGAGGAGAAACGTGCCCTGGGCATGTCAGATTTTCACTCTTAGACGGCAGAGTTTCTTGACAGGTTGGAATGAAAATGCAGACTGCTAGCTGCGGATGGGGGTTGGTTTGAGGTCACCCTCACTGCGCTGCCAATGCACTGCAAAATCCCTCCAGCCCTCATCCCTGTGAATCCCTCCCCCATGCCCCGTTCATGCCAACTTGCTACTTTATATCCTCAATGCCACGTTATACTCCTCAATCCATCACTATTGCCCCTAATAGCCCCGATGCCTCTTCGCCCATTTCCTACAGCCCCGATAACTCTCACGTCAACCCATTTCTCTTGACCCATGCAACCCCCACCCCCGCTACACCATGGTCCACCATACCCCAATGTCAACTGTTCCTCTGTGCCCATCACCCTGGTGGTTTATAGTCCTAATGTCAACTGTTCCCTTGTGCTCATTACCTTGGCCCCTATGCCAATTTAATGTCAACTCATGCCAAAGCATGCCCCCTCTCACCACCTTTTGGCCTTCTTCCCCACATTCTGACTCATCTAGTACTGACTCAGGAGCTCTGCTGACATTAAGTAAAGTTACGTGTCTCCTGGTGCCATCACAATTTAAATAAACACTCTCATTGATTTAAAGAAAAAAATCAATGTATTGTAATTCCTTCAATGAATCACCTACAGAAGCAAACATTTGCATTTTAAGTTGTTCAGCAGTGGTCTCTGGGAAGCACACATGTGTGATGCCAGGGGAATCCACAAAATTACAGTCTTTCCACCAGGAAAAGGAAGAGGTTATAACAGGGAGTAAAGAGATGGCAGATGCATACTTTTGGTTCTGTCTTCAAAAAGAACGACAGTACAGTGGCTCAGTGGTTAGCACTACTGCCTCACAGAGCCAGGGACCCGGGTTCAATTCCAGCCTCGGGTGACTGTCTGTGTGGCGTTTGCACATTCTCGTTGTGTCTGTGTGGGTTTCCTCCAGGTGCTCCAGTTTCCTCCCAAAGTCTGAAGATGTGCAGGTTTGCCCATAGTGTCCAGGGATGTGCAAGCTAGGTGGGTTAGCCATGGCAAATGCAGTGTTATAGGGGTAGGGTAGGTCTGTGTGGGATGCTCTTCAGAGGGTCAGTACGGACTTGGTGGGTTGGATGGCCTGCTTCCACAGTGTAGGGATTCTATGACTGAAATAAAATCCCAAATATATTGGGAAGCACAGGGTATAGTGAGAGGGAGGAACTGGGAGGAAATCAGTGTTAGTAGGGAGATGGTATCGGGGAAACTTATGGGATTCAAAGCTGATAAAGCTGTAGGTTGCAATAATCGTGGAAATGGTCCTAGAAATAAAAGATGCATTGGTGGTCATCTTTCAAGATTCTATAGACCCTGGAGCAGTTCCTGTGGATTGGAAGGTTCCTACTGAAATCCCACTACTTACAAAAAAGATCTCACCCAGCAGACATGCTGTCTGGTGGGCTATTGGGCCGAAAACCTCTTGAATAAAATATAAACACTGTTGTGCTGTAAGTTCCTGTGGATCTCCATACACTGGGACTTTTGACCAAAGATCCTCGCCCCTCCACCTTCCACTCTCCTCCCAGCCCTGAGGACATATGGGGTCCACAATCTTTGAGGCAACCGGGGATGGAGAATAATGCTTCTTTTCCAAATCCAAAAGACGACCTGAGGAAACGCACCCAGTCTAACAAAATAAGGGCAGTGCAGGAATTCCTCAGTTATCAGTGAATGTCTGGCCTATGTTTAATGATTCCTAAATTCACTTTGGACTTATGAAATCAACTTCCGACAACTTTCACCAATTTCAAACCGGTTGCTTTCTCCTTTAGAGTGTTGTGAGAGGTATCCTGGATGGACTGATTAAGTGTTCACTCGCCCTACTTCCTTAATTCAACAGAATTTGGAGTTCATTCCTTTGGAGTTTAGCGACGCCTGAGCAAAACACCAGCAAGGACAAGATCTGAGTAAAGGAGATTGGTTCATGGTAAAGAATGGCCCAGACAAAGGGATGGAACAGCAGTAAAACTAAAAGGGAAGAAATCTCACTTTATTCCTCTTCATGAATCCTGCGCAGTGAATGTGATAAAATAATTTGACTTTATGCTGCCTGTCATTCCCACGTGATGGCCATTGAACCTACCCTAATGTTTGATGGCTTTTCAGGTTCTCTGTGATTCCTCCTTGCCCATCCCCTGTGAGAAAGCATTACTGTCGAGTATTAGTTCCTATTTGTAAGAAAAGCGGCTACAGAAACTCACCTTCATCCGGTCTGGTCACTTTATCATCAGGAGCATACCCGATAGCAGCTAATCCCAGTCGGTTCATCCACCTATTGAAGCATCAGAGATGCAAAGGGAATAAAAAGACACACACAGGATTAATTACAAATAATTTGCAATCGCCAGTCATTTTTTTATATGCAAAAGACTAAAACAGTCAAAATGCATTTGATATTTTCAACAGAATATTCAAGATCTCTTCCAGTGGGAAGATACACACACCATGTTTGAGGAGTTGTGCTACATTGCTTTGTTCTTCACCGAGGAAAATGGATGACAAGGCTCGATAACTTTAAAGCTATTAATGGGATTTCCCCTTTAGCAAAATATTGCTGCTTTCAGTCCAGATTCTTTGTGTAGATATTAACCACCAGAAGGGTGATCCACCACCAGAATGTGGCTGGTCCACATTTTTTTATATTTGTTCACAGAATGAGGGTGTCGCTGGCTAGGCCAGCATTTATTGCTCTTGCCTAGTTGTCCAGAGGGCGGTTACGAGTCAACCACATTGCTGTGGGTCTGGAGTCACATGTAGGCCAGACCAGGTAAGGATGGCAGTTTCCTTCCCTAAAGGACGTTAGTGAAGCAGATGGGATTTTCCTGACAATCGAAAATGGATTCATAGTTATCATCAAACTCTTAATTCCAGATATTTATTGAACTCAAATTCCACCATCTGCCATGGCAGGATTTGACCCGTGTCCCCAGAACATTGCCTGGGTCTCAGGATTAACAGACCAGTGATAATACACTAGGCTATTGTCTCCCCACATGAAGCAATGTTGCATCTCACTTGTCTGCCACACCTGCCCACTACACCAGCATCATTCTGGACAGCAAGATATCTACAGACTTCACAAATCACTCACTCTTTCCCTGCCAGTAGGTGCAAGATGCTTATGAACTTCTTTACCAGTAAGACTGATACCAGCTGTTCAGTTATATCCTCCTTTCATCTTACCCACCAAACTAATCCTTCCTCTGGATTCCTATTTGATCTCTTTAATTCTCTCCTGTCTTACATCCTGCTATGTCCATGAGACTCACCTCCTACTGTCTCGGCTCCTTTCCATGAAAATGTGACCACACATCTTCCCTTCCCAACCACCATGCGATTAAAGGTTCAAATGACCACTTCCCCTTTTCCAAATCTGACACCAATAACCCTTCCTCAAGAAATCTACTCTTGATCCCTCTGTCCTTTCGAATACTGCCTCGTCTTTCCTCTGCAAAGTACTTGAAATGTGTTGTTGCCTCACAAACATGTGCCCAATCTTCCTGGAATTCCTCATTAATCTCTCCAGTTATGTTTCCAACCCCGCTACAGCACTGAAATAGTCTCAATCAACATCGCTATGAATGTCGCTATGAGAATGCCTAACCCTTTTTCAATATCTCAGAGCCTTTGATGTGGTCAACTCTAACCATCAGCCACCAATATTGTCAAACTTGTTGAGATCACCCTGGTTTGTTTCCACTTTTGTTATGCCACTGTATTCAAAACATCTCCAATAATAGTTTCACTTCTGCGCCATCAATCCTATCTCAATTCCCAAACAGCCCTCTCCTCTTTCCTATCTACACACTACTGCTTTGGCAAAATCCCTACCTCTCCACCTCCTCTCATGACAACGCTGCGGTTCATAGAATCATAGAAACACGACAGTGTGGAAACAGACCATTCGGCCCAACAAGTCCACACCGCCCCTCTGAAGAGCATCCCACTCACCTCTGCATTTCCCTTGTCTAACCCACCTAACCTAAACATTCCTAGGCACTACGGGTAATTTAGCATGACCAATCCACCTACCCTGCACATCTTTGGACTGTGGAAGGACCCGGATGAAACCCACGCAGACACGAGGAGAATGTGCAAACTCCAGACAGACAGTCGTCCAAGGCTGCAATCGAATGCAGGTCCCTGGCGCTGTGAGGCAGCAGTGCTAACCACTGAGCCACCGTGCCGCCCTACTTTCACACTGTTTGGCTGACATCCAACCATGGGTCTGCAGTTCCCTCCAGCTAAGGAAGACTGCAGTTTTTATCATTGGCTGCCACCGCAAGCCCTATGCTGAGTACTTCTCCATGGCCACCATTGCAGGTGGACTGGATTAGTTACAACCTCGTCATTTTATTTCAACTTTCTAAACTCAAATCTTCTCCGTCATAATGACCGCCGACTTTATTGCATCACACGTCTTGCCCCCCTGCCGAAACTAAGATCCCGGTCACCTCCAGACTCACCTATTCCAAAGCTCTCCTGATCAGCTGCTTATTTGCAATTTGCCATCAATTTCAACTCATCTCAAACTTCATTGTCTATCCTATTTTGCCTTAAGTCTCACTGCATTATTACTTCTGCCTTGCTGAACTGCCCTGGGTCCCAATCCCGAAACAAATCCTAAATCTTTCTCTGGCTTCGAAACATTCTCCAGGACAACAATACTGCTCAGCATCAGAGTCCTGATTTGGTGCCCATCCCTCTCCCTTCACTCTAAGCTTCAGAATGTCATTCATGAAGACCCTCTTGAAATAGTATCTTTCTGACTGCTCCTGTGCCTCCATCTTTGAGTCAAAATCCATTTCATTTGATGAAACCTTTGTTTTTACACAGTAAAGACACAATTTAAATGCAAGTTGAAAGCTTTCAATGCAACATTGAATGCTTCGTGGCGTAGGTTTCAAAGTGAACTCCCTCAACCATAAAATAACAGGCACATTTCAATGTTTATTACCTTACAGAACTGTCCATTTTGTTGGTTTATTTCCCACAGTTTCTACAATAACTAGATTGCTTTCCTTTAGCTATCTGGCACAGTATTCTAGAAATTAGGAAAAAAATGTTCCCAAACTTTTATCAAGCTTGTCTGATCCTTTGTGCAGGTACTTTCAAGGGGTCTGTGTTTTTTCAGAGGCTTCTTGGAGTGTTTAAATAGGCAGGAGTCCTCCGAGTACTCGGGTGTGTTTGAGGGAGAGTATTTCCAATTGGGTTCTGGAAGCAAGTTAATATTTAGATGCAACTGATGAAATGAGCCATGAGTTACAGGAGGTTCCCTGATAGTTTATCATTCAGTGGAGGGAAGTCCTGCAGATATGGCAATATGTGAGGAAGATCCAAAAGATGTGTCAGAACTTACATGAGTCCCTCCGTCAATAGTTTTGGGGTATCCCTGGAGTGTGACTGTATTGGTAAGGGATCCTGGTAATACATACATTGTCCCTGAAAGGTGACAATATTTGGAGAGTACAGAAATGTTTGTTCAAATTAACTTATTTTGTCAGAAAATTCCCTGTTTATAATTTTAATCAAGGCATCAACACCCATAAATAAGTCAGGTACCAGACCCCATCCAGCAGCAGATATTATGAATTTCACACATCGAGGGAAATGTAGGGAGGTGTAGGTAAATAGAATAATTCCACTGTCAAAATCAGAAAACATAATGTCTTCTGGGAGATGAGCACTGTAAACTGCACCTGCCTATACCCAGACTATCAATCTGTTAGAACAGACAGCATAGGCTTATGTGCTTGCAAATGTTGCTCACTCTTTTTTAATTTCAAAAATATACATTATTCATAAAAGTATCACTATAGACATACATAGTCACTTTAGTTGTTCGGTTCTGTACAGTAGCAGAAGAAGGAACAAACAAATATTGGAGTTTGACTGTATCCGACAAACAAACCAAAGGAATCTCTTACTTGTATAAGATAATACTTATATGCATTGAGGCACCAGGGAGTCCAATAACTGAGCAGAATCCTCATTTAACTTTAGCAGATGGTGGTATTTCCCCAACTCGCTTTGGCAGCAGCTGCCCCAAGCTTTAGTGCGTCCCTCCGCACGTAGTACTGGATCTTGGAATGTGCCAGTCTGCAACACTCTGTCAGGGTCAACTCCTTGCTCTGAAAGACTAGTAAGTTTCAGGCGGACCAAAGAGCCTCCTTCACCAAGGCTCTCCAGGTGCAGTCGATGTTTGTCTCAGTGTGTATCCAGGGAACAGACGATAGAGCACAGAGTCCTGCGTCACAGAGCTGCTCTGGACAAACCTCGACAAAAACCACTGCATCTTTCTCCAGACTTCCTTTGCAAAGGTGCATTCCAACAGGAGATGGGTGACAGTCTCAACATGCCGGTTTCGATGGAAGTTTGCAGCGGAACAGACCGGCCGGGCATTAATGAAGGGTCTCACAGGTAATGCCCTTCTCACCACCAGCCAAGCAATGTCTTGGTGCTTGTTGGAAAGTTCAGGGGATGAGGCATTCTGCCAAATGACTTTGACCGTCTACTCAGGGAACAACCTCGATAGGATCCACGCCCTCCTTTTCTTGCAGGGGGTTCAAGGATGCTATGTGCTGATTACTTCCTGATGGACTTGTAGCCGAAGGTGATTTTCTTTGCCAAATTTCTCCACAAAGGACAGGCGATTTGGAATGGTCCAACTACTTGGAGCGTCCTGTGGCAATGATGCCAGTCCCATCCTTCGCAACACCAGGGACAGGTAGAAACTCAGTATGTAGTTACACTTGGTGTTTGCGTACTGAGGGTCTGCACACAGCTTGATGCAGCTGCACACAAAGGTGGCCATCAGGATGAGAGCGGAGCTGGGTACGTACTTCGACCCTTATCCAGAGCTTTGCATATGGTGTCCCTGTGGACACAATCCATCTTAGGTCTCCAGATGAAGTGGAAGATGGCTTGGTGTGGCTGCAACGGCACAGGTTCTGGGAATGGGCCAGACCTGTACCACACATAACAACAGACAGTACGTCATGCCCGATAACCAGGATTTTACCTGCAATGGGGAAGGGCGGGTGCTCCCAAAAGCCCAGTTTCTGCCTCACGTTAGCAATACGGTCCTCAGAAGTATTTACGTACATCTGGCCCCTCCGAACCACATTCCCAGAATCTTCAGGTAATCTGTCCTGATGACGAAGGGGATAAAGGATAGATGGCCCAGTTCCCAAAGAACATGGAGATTCCCAAGGAAAATGGAACATTGGAGGTTGGCAAATGTGGTGCCATTATTTAAGAAAGGCTGTAAGG